TTATTATAGTGCTAAATTTAATATTATTGATTGCTAATAGTTTATGCTAACACTTAACTTTCTTAATTAGATGTATTTAAAACAGTGAACTACGTGTAACATACTATTCAGAAATACAATCGAGAATAGTTTTGTGGTGTTTGTATGGATGAAACGTTTCTAAAATGTATAACGTAACAAAATTAAAGACGATTAAATCTGTAATCTTTCCACTTGTAATGTCATTAGAACAGAACAACGTTTCTGGTTTGTCTAAGGATGGTATCAAAAAGTAGTCTAAGTGGTGAGAAAGCTATGCTTAATGATAATTAAGTGACTTAAAAGTAAAAAGAGATGCTTCATATTGCTTGATTAATTTTAAAAACTAAGTTATAAATGCAGACGCGATCGCTGCCATAAGTGCTCCAGGCAGCAGAATGTTCGTTCTGTACTGCTGAGCTCCGCGCCTCCTCCCTCTCTCGGTGCCGCGCCCCTCTCTGACGGAGCGCAGTGGGCGGTATGCTATTTTCAGAGCCTCTGATTGGGAAAAAAAGACCTGCTGATGAGTTTCACACAACAGGAAGAGGAAAGAATGGGATTTTTTCTCTTCGAAAAACGTGTGTTGTCTTTATGAAATTCGTGTATTTTAAAAGTTTAATTAAGAAGTAAAAACCTTACAGGATTCTGAGCTGATCACGAGGAAGAAAAATCACCCATTTTTTGCGCAAAAAAAGTGTTTTTTAACTCTCAAAACCTGTTTTTATATGTTTAAAAGTCGTACAATGTCTAAGTTAAGCAGGAACACATCATTATATCTCATTTTTTATTTATTTTTTAAAAATTTTAAAAATCGTTTGCCCAGCCTAATAATAACGAAGAAGGCAGATAGCATACACTAAAATAGACTACTACAACTTAAGGCTGGGCCTGGTCTTAAGTGAGCCAAATGAAATTGGAAGTACGCAAAAGATTTTAATACTGAGGTGAGAGTTTTGAAACAGATTGGAAAATATGGTTGTTACAGTCAGCAAAGTCAGATCCTAACTGAAAAATAACTTACAACCTTCCTCTAACTCCTGTTTTTTTTTTTAAGAACAATGTTTATAAACTTAGCTTACAACCATAACTTTGTACCACTACAGGAGGGTTGACGGCAACATGCATGGATCCTACAAGATGTTTGTACTGTTAAGCCAACAATGTTTACTTGAACAATCACCTATAGTAAAGTTGGGAGTGAGTTCACTGAAAACTGAGCACAAGGATCAATGCTGCATGGCAAACTAAGGATACCTTGGCCTGGAAAAACCCAAGCGCATTTAGTCACGTATATGAGATATTGTTCCCGCAACATAAAGCATACACATAAGACTGAAGACATTCAGCATAAGACTGAATCCTGTGTCTGAGATCATAATACACCACTTTTAAAGAAGATGGACTATGTGCTTTTGTTATGTATACAACCCTTTCTGGCTAGCCTTTAATTATGTTTAAGGACATCTAATTAGATCTTTTGATTAACAATCTGAAGTGAAAATATTTATAAAACAATCTACTTTTAACATCTCATTTATGTTCCACAACTGCATAGGACTGTAGAAAAATATACCATCTATTCATCAATGATTTTCAACAGAGAATTTATGCTTATTTGTTTTTAGTTTATTCCTACATACTATTAAATGTTTCATGTTCCAAGAATCCTCCCAGATAAGTAAACTCACTTAAACCTAAAGAATAATTCAAACCCCAGATATGCACACTCAAAATTGATCAACAGTATGTCTACATATCAGCCTGCAACTTCATATGAAGTTCCCATAAAGGCACAATTACCTTTCATCCTTGTTTTGGCGAATGCATCCTTCAATGATCTCTTTAACTTCTGGTATTGCTACCTTGTCAAAACTGCCAGGCTTCACTCCCTGTAAAAATATACATACCCATAAAATAAAAGGACAGGAAATGCTTAATTTCAGACAATATAAAACAGTGATAGAATGAAATACAAATTGCAAAAAAGAGCAAGTACAAATTCCATCCACAGTCGCAAGTATTGGTACCCTTACTCACAAAAAGCACTATTCTCTTTACTTACATAAAGCACTCATTCATCCTTGCAAGCAGTAGCTGAGACATCATAATCATAATGATTCACTTTAGAAAAGAGTCTCAATATGCATTCATGCAACTCTATAAACTTCTATTTATAAATCAATTAATATAAGGAACAAAGTGTGCTGTTTATATATGGGAGAACTGTATAGTGGAATTTTATAAGGTCTAGATCCATCAAATTGCCTTTTAAAAGGTAAGCTGCAGTGCGGAGCTTACTGTACTTGTAACTGGAAGGTTGGGTGTTAGCAGAGACACTGTTATTGTACCCTTAAACTACTGTACTTCCCACAAATTGCTCCAGTAAAAACTTTCAGAGGTATAAATGAGTGTGAATATGAAATGCTTTGGATAAAAGTATCATCCAAAAATACAAATATTTGAAAAAGAACTTATGTAAAACATAAGTGAATATCAAAAATAAAGAATACAACCTTCACCTCACTGATGAAGACTGTTACAGAGAGGATATAAATCAATTAGAGCTCTACATTTTTCATAATTGTTGGCTTTAGAAGTGGGAGAGCTGGCTAGCTAACAGAAGAACAAGCACACTGACCTCTGCCTTGAAAATATACAATCAAGTGCAATTAAAATACTCAATCCATGAAAGTCATGAGATTTTTAGAATTGTCTCACAGCATATGAATTGCACCAATAACAGAGGTGCAATAACCATATTCATTCATCATTGACAGAATTGTCAGCAAACTACTTGAGAAAATAAAACATTTCAACATCTACTTCCAAAAATGCTTTAAAGAGATTTAAAATGGTTTGATTTTAGTCTCTAAAGGGTGATCCAAGATAATGGGGGAAAAAAAACGTAAATCACGACTATTTCTGAATGTAATAAAAGTTGTGCAGTCTTATTGCTGCATACATTCCCACTGTGATACTGCCTCACATCCTAATCAGTTTGACTAACTGAAAGATAAAATACTTAATTTTTGTTCTTGAATATCATTATCATCCACTGCAAAGTTGTATTGGAATATCTGATTTTAATTACCTTGTCATAATGTTTATATACTTACATACATTGGTTCTCATCAGCTGTACTATTTTATACAGCCCAGTTCTATATGTATAACTAATATTTCAAATGATGCAAAGCAATGCTAATTGCACTTATTATTACTTAAATTATCAACATATCAATGTTGTGCTAAGTAATATAACAATCTGGTGGTACTATTTTTATTTTGCAGAAAACCTAGAGGTCCACTGGGTTCAGACTCGTATGCAGTGAAGTTTACATACCTTCTATTTGCTTCTATATGCTGTTATAGGTCATCCTCAGGAAAAAGCAGAAATGCCAAAACCTAAGCGATATACAGCCGCTGAACTGGAAGACTTCATTTAAATTTGGACAAAGGTACTACTAGGCATCCCTTTAAAATTTTTTATGCATATAAAAAAACGAAAAAAGGGCTCCAAATAAATTGCCTGACTCAAGAAGGAGATGCTTCTAAAAATAGCAAATTGCATTTAAAAGGATAAAGACATTTCATTAAACCATGGTCCCTTGATTGCCCCTTATTTGTTTTAGTGTGTCAAACATGCTTACAAATCAAAAGGATGAACAAGTTTACTACAAAAGACACTTACCAAATTCTTGTAAGTCAATCAAAAAGCTCATCTAAATTAGAATTAAATCTCTCATATGAAGACATACCGTTCTCTTCAGTGTGGTACTGCAATGTTATTCAACATAAAAATCCAAAGATCAAGGCTTTATAAAATGTCATTCCATTGGACTTGGGGGCAAAACAAAGTAAAATGACGGAAGAACTAATGAAATTAAGCCACAAAGTAACAGTATATGAGTAAGTTAATTAAATCCCTCATTACTGTTTGTGTAGCTCAATAACAATAAAGGACTGTTTTAAGCCAGATGCTCACTGGTATTTCTCAACCACCACATATTAAAAAGGCATGACTTCTGGGTCATTGGAAACATGAGAAGATAAAAAAACAAATACCACATTTTAATAACTATACAAGCTCCCTGCTATCTTGTGTAAAGAATTCAGATACATGCAAGAGAGGGTACCTTTTATTTTTACATTCTTTTTCCAAAAAGGATACATTTACTCACAGTTTTAATTGTACTAAACAGATCTATGGATTGTGTCCCAAAGAACAAAATCACTAAAAACACTAAAATAAAATAAGCAACACATGAGTGAAGCCCAGTCTCTCTCACTACCTATAAAATAAAATAAAATGCCAATTAAAGAACACAGTGATAATAAAGTGCTTACCCTCCATCTGGAAAAGCAATTTTCACTGATACTACACTTAAGAATGAGGTAAGACAAAAGAACAATTAAAATATTTTAAGTGTCAAAACGTGAATATGTCACTGAATTATTGGATTCTGGGGGGAAAAAAAAGAAAGCCAGCTTTTCAATATTCCTCAAAAACATTCATTTAAGATATCAAAAATACTCATTTGTATTTTGCTTAATACGAGGGTTGTTGCTTTAATGTGTTTGGCCCTACCTACAGAAAATGGTTTGTGGTGCTTTAAGGTATACTAGGAAACACAAGGTTTACACTGTAATGTTAAAACTAGACTATTTTAATGACAATTAGTTTTAGAACTATATATATACATATGAAAGTTAAAGGGACAGTAAAAGATCCCCTCACCTCAAACTAACTGTACAGTACCAGCAGGATTCTCATGTCAAGAGAAAATGTTTTTAAATGAACAGGTAACAGGTTTATTTCATGGTGAAAAGAAAGGAAAGGAAACACGTTTCCTTTTGTTGCACACCTGAAGAAGGCTCCATGGCCGAAAACTTGCGTTTCCTTTCTTTTCTTCTCAGCGTGGAATAAACCCGTTACCTGTTCCTTTGTAGCCTACGCATGCTGACATAGCTACCTACTTGAACATGTTTCTAAAATATATTTCCTTGAAATATTCGCAATTTATTTTTCTGCATACATTTTAAGTGTTCTTTAAGCTACAGGACAGTAAAAAGCAGATTATGAGATCACGATCATGTGAGAGAGCATTAGAAAGGCAAGTAAAGGGATATAACTTGTTGCTAAACAGTCACAGTCACACTAGAAGTATTATCCCAAGTCAAAGGAGTTCTTGTTGATGAATATGTGCCTCTTCTTTGTGACTCAATTGGTTTGAGTCACCCTGCCAAACACGGTGAGACAGACATTTCAACTTTACTACATTTTACATTCAAATGGTAGAGAAAAGAAAATTACAATGATTCTATGCTGTTAGTTTTAGGATGGTGTAAAAAAAAAGACATGTCAGTAAAAAAGGCTATCTAACACATGGTGTACAGTACTATGTTAAACCTGACAATGTTTTTTTTTTATTTTAAACATACTTGTTCATAAGAGACAGTTGATTAAGAAAAACTGTGTTGGTAAACCGAGAATTACAACGAGACACTGTTATACAAGTGAACCCGGGATTAATGCCTGCTGATGTTTTTTTATGTAAATAACTAATTATTAGCAATTAAATATTCTAGTTAAAATAGGTTTTCAAAAACATGTTAGCAAAGTAATTTATCACATTCTCACTTCATAATTCCCTTCTTTTCTGCTTATTACCAATGATAAGTGTTAGGTCTTTTTGAGGTTAATGTGGGGTACTACAACTGGGCTTGTAAGAAAACAGGTTTCAAACAAAGTGGAGTGAAAACCCTGATGTAGGAAAAAGTAAGCTTTTCCTACAAATAACACTACATTAAGGCATTTAAAAGCTTACAGATTATTCTGGGTATGCAGCTAAACTTTAAGTTATACCATATTTCACTATGTAACTCCTTATTCAATTTTACACAGCCATGAGTGAAAGTGTTCTGACAACCTCCATTACAGTCTGGAATGGGAACTTGGATAACTACTCAAAAGGCAAACAGGAAAGGATTGTGTCCAAAGCTGCAAAAATTCTTGGCTGTGAACTCTCTTCCATTTCATCTCTCTATTCTAGCCGTACCTCCAATCATGCTAAGAAAATCATCTCAGAACTCTCTCATCCAACTCAATCTCTTTCAGCTTCGCCCTTCTGGAAAACATTTAAAATCTTTCCTCTCAAGGACTGCCTGCTTCAACCTCAGCTTCTTTCCCACTGCCATACAAACTCTGAATTCATGTTGGACTCTGAATTCCATTGTATAATTATGCTGCTACATAGAAAGCTGTTTACATATGTATGTGACAATGTTTGTCTTCTGTCCTATTTAAATTTGTACTGTATATGTTGTATGTCTCATCTGTGTTGTTTGCTGTATCAAAAGCAAATTCCACTCAATTTAAAATAATTATAGCCAGCAGCCATATCACTCTGCAACTCACAACTGGCAACCCACTGAAGCTAAGCAGGTGTGAGCCTGGTCAGTACCTGGATGGAGACGCCCTGGGAAAAACTAAGATTGCTGCTGGAAGAGGTGTTAGTGGGGCCAGCAGGGGGCACTCACCCTGCGGTCCATGTGGGTCCTAATGCCCCGGTATAGTGGCAGGGACACTATACTGTAAAAAGGCCCCATCCTTCGGATGAGACGTAAAACCTAGATCCTGACTCTCTGTGGTCATTAAAAATCCCAGGGGTGTAACCCTGGCGTCCTGGCCAAATTTCCTACTGGCCCTTACCAATCATGGCCTCCTAATAATCCTCATCTATATACTGGCTTCATTACTCTGCTCTCCTCCCCACTGATAGCTGATGTGTGGTGAGCATTCTGGAGCACTATGACTGCCATCACATCATCCAGGTGGATATTGCACATTGGTGGTGGTGGTGGGGGGGAATCCCCATTACCTGTAAAGCACTTTGAGTGGAGTGCCCAGAAAAGGCGCTTAATAAGTATAAGCAATTATATATATAAAATAAAACATTTTCTAACAGAAAACTGCAGAAGATTAGATGTTACAGTTTTTCCATAAAGATGTTAGGTTGCAGACAAAAAGTATCTCCGAGATGAAGCTTTCTTTTCCCGTTTACAACCATTTTTTGTGCAATATATGCCAGGGACCCGTGCAATACATTTATATTTACATCTATATTTATATTCATATGTGTGATACGATTTTTCTGCATACTGTTCTGTTCTAGTTTGTTCTTTGTGTGTCCGGACTGTGAGTAACTCTTTTAGTGCACCCCTCGCTATACTGATTGTATTGTATGTATTGTACTATTATTATTGTATCATTCGTTACACTGTGGCTGTCTTGTCTGTGTAAGGCTGCTGTTGCACTGCAATTTCCCTCACGGGATCAATAAAGTATCTATCTAAACAATAACAGCAATCAACCTTCTCACTTTTAAAATACAAAAATGTTCAGAAGCAGTGTGATGTGACAAAATTTCTAATTGACCTAATAAAACTGTTTTCAATCATCTAATGATTGATTTTATTAGAAATGCAACACCCCTACAACTAAATTGCAATTGATGATCAGACTACAGAGGTTGTCAATGACTAAAACTACTTGGGATTGGTCAAAGACAAAAACATAGATGAGACTGGCCATTTCTATAAATGGTGTTACAATGTTAAACAGACCCTTTTTTCCTTATGAAACAACTAGGTTAAGGTAGACTGAACTATTTCAACACTTTTCGACAAATTACTTATTAAACCTATTTTAACATACTGTCTCACATGCTGATTTGGCATCATCAGTACAGTTAATTGTGAAATATTTGGAAAATTAGTAAAGATAAGCATTGGGGCAAATCAAATGAACCAACGCCCTCTACAAAAAGAGTTCTAAAGAACGCTAGGAGCATTATGGAGTGTGTGGTTCATCCATCCATTGTGAATCTGGGAATAGCTCTTGCGCTAAAAGTAGAGTGACACTCTTCTCTTGAAACACTGCTGTACTGTATTCGTTGCTGGTGGTGGTTTGTTTTTTCTATATTGTTCTGTTGTAGTTTACTGTAAAACAAATTTCCCCCAGAGGATAACAGGGCTGAAAGTGAATAAAGACATGTTCATCTATAACTTTTTTTCTTATTAAAAATGACAAGGTGCAAAACCACTAGCCAAAAGAACTCTGACTATACAAAGCAACTTCTCCTAGTTACATTTTAATGTTACAATACACAGTAATAACCTTTTAAATTAGATGGTTTTGTTTTAAAAGTACATGGTTTATAATGATAAAGTACACAATAAGTCCCTGGGCAAATGAGTAAATACAGAAAGTGGACAAAAATGGAAACCTCTGGGTACATGGACACAATATATTTTTGAAATAACTGGCTTCTATTGTGAGAAGAAATGCCACTATTGTGGCTCACGTCTTATTTAAATAGTTTCCCTATTGATTCTGTTAATGTATACAAAATGCTGAACATTACTGGTTGCTTATAATTATGGCTTAAATGGCTGCAAGAGGTGACCAATAAATGACAATGAAAGAATTGCAACGGTGGGCAGAACCACATACTCCAGGGTCGTGATATCAGTGCACTTATTTGAAGTGCAAGGCAAAATATGTGGGCAACAGTAGATCAACTGACTTTCCAGCCTGGGGAACAGAAACTGAAATATCTAGTTGTATCAAAAATGGCCTGTTAAGAAATCCACAGAGCAAAATACCATAATGGGTTTGGTGTGCACATACCACTCATCACACCATGCAATGATGTGCAAGTTTATTGGTGCAAAGAGAACAACAGAAAACCAAGAAGATAAAGAAATGTGAAAAGGTCAGATGAATCACCTTTCACCTTGACATCCTTTATCTCAACAAATGGATGAATGCGCACCACACCAACTTTATAAACATGAATACTTGGTTCCAACACTGAAGTATTCTGGTGGCTTCATAATGCTGTGATGTACATTTTTCTGGCATGGTATGGGTGCACTAATTCCCTAAAAGGGCAAGGTCAATGCTAATTGCTTGTTAATGGATGGTAAGGGGTGATTATTTTCGCACTGAAGAATTATGCTGCATCCTTCCTGCAAAATTCCAGACATAACAGAGAGAATGGCATTTTACAAGGGAATAAAATGAACCACTACCAGCTTGATTAAAAAAAAATGAAAAGGTTGTAATTTAATTAAAAAATAACTTAAAGGGTTCAAAAACCTAATAAAATCCTATCCTCAACCTGGGCCTTAAAGGTTGAAATATAGACTGAAGGTGCCAGATGAGATGTAGATTCAGCATGTTTTCATCTTCAGTGGAATACAGATCTGGTGGAGGGCCTGGCTGACTGCCAGTTTGCTCTGTTTGTACTGTAATAAGTGGAGAACTCTTCCTGACATTAAAGGCATATTAAATATTAAATTTTTCTTAAATCTGTCTTGCATCTTAGCATCTATATTTTACATACACATAAACTTACAAAACATACTAACAGTACAAGTAAACATTGAATAACAGACTTCTACCCAAGCATGTTCATTTCACACCACTTCTATAGGACCCACACAACTACACTAGACTCCTGTAAATTTACTCCCCCAACTATTTCACTTAGCCCATATTACGCATTACCCCTTTGTTTGTGCATGTTATTCACTAATTTCACTTGCTTATAAACCATTACTCATTTACTCTGAACTTATTGAGTCATTTGAGTACAGGGTAAAAAATAATTTTAAGTACACTGAGGAACTCTAAAACATTTGTTTGCATGAGTTTATATGATTCATGCAGAACCTGAGGGAGACCATAGGATATGCTAACAACTAGTCTCGACATACTCTTAATATAAGCAGTTTGAAAACTCTGCTCAAGTGGCTTCGCTACAATCCTAGAACACATCTGCAAAAGTCTGAACATATTAGCATCTTGTTGCACAGAAAGAATTTTAGACCAGACGTTATTTTATGAATACACTTTGTATCACAAAACTGAAACATAATCTGATCACTAGCACCTCAAGTCCATAACTAGCTAAGAAAGTAAATTTTCTGCTGTACTTCATTACAAATACAATCAACATGTGCCTTACAATACAGAAACATCCATGTTCATTCTTCGATATTTACAGGATGTAACCTCTTAATGAACTCATTATGGATTATGACTGAACAAAGATATTAATCTCATTCAAGACCAAATAATTTATTCATTCTTCTAATATAAAAAATCAAAGCACTCTGGTAACACCAGACACCCGGCTGTGGAGCTTTCCAAGAAGAAGGCTTCACAGCCGAAACATTGGTTTTCTTTTCTTCTCTTTTCAGCATGGAATAAACCTTTACTTGTTCCTTTGCAGTCTGCACATGCTGACTATTTGAACTATTACATGGATATGGCTGGTACACACAAGCTTTAAGTCAAGCTTTAGAATACTTTAAGAAATAATTGACATTTTTTTTTCATTTTGCATCTCTCACATGCAATTTACCCATTATATCTTTAAGTGTTTCATCTTCAGATATTCTAGTACCCCTTGCAATTCTACTTGTGTAAATCTTTGTGTTTGAGGAGAGTTTTAATAGAAAACTAGTATCTAGGAAAACACTCCACTAATGTTAAAAAAAATAACACCAGCAATACAGTCTGGCATCCAGTATGTACTATAGACAAATATCCTTAATAGAAAACCTGCATCATTTATGATGTTTTTTTCCCATTTTTCATAACATTCAAATGTTGTTCCACTGTCACAACTTCTGTTGGCATTTAAGAAAAGTCCTGTTTGTGTTATTTACACAGAATAACAACGAACCAAAGCACATATTAATACTCTTCAACTGTACCACGGCAGACTAGTATATAACAGAGGCTGGGAGAGGCACATGTCCTTAAGAGGAGGTGAACTGGGTTAGAGATGGACGAATGTAGTTCAAGAGACATTCTGTCACAGAGAAGAGAAAATTCTAAGACTCACACTCGTAACTCTGCGGTAGATCTGGGCGGCATTCTGGCACTCTGAGTACGGGTACTCTGAGGTAGCCATCTCCAACATACACATCCCAAAGGCATAAACATCCACTGACTCGTCATACTTCTCCTCATACATCTCAGGGGCCATGAACTCTGGGGTACCTTAAATTAAAAGAACGATTCAGACTCTGAGTGTCTCAGAGAGCAGACTCCACTGGCCTGCCCACCGAAGGGAGGCGGGGAGGCGGAGAGTGACGGTCAGGGGTGGTGGTGACCTGTGGGAAAAGAGACAGAAAAGTGGAGGCAAAAAAAGAAGAAGGAAAAAAAAAGAGGAGGGGAATCTTGGCTAAGTTAGTCTGTAATGAATGAGGCACGTTTCCCTATGCAAGGCCTTTTGTGTTGATGTACTGAACATGCTCTAAGGCCCAACTAAAAGTTTTCTTTGTTGTTTAAACACAAATATAAAAAGGATGAGAGGACAGTTAAACATTGTAAGGCAAACAATATCAAATGCTGAATCTTAGCCCCCTCCCCTTTTAACTCACAAATGCACCAGAGCTCTAATTTGAAGAATGTGTCAGTGCACGTAACAGTACCAATTGAGAAGGGCCTGCTTTACTTTGTTCTATACATAGGTAGGCTGAAAAAAAAGGAAGAGAAAAGGTAAAGGATTAGCTATGGAACATATAGCCACAAAACCTTACCTTAAACACCATATGCTCTAAAACATTAACTTTGACTTACATTCTTCAACCTGTTACAAGAGAAATTCAAGTTAAGCAGATTCCATAGCTAGCAACTGATAAGCAATGTTCTGTACACCTCAAACAGAGACTAAAAAGGCCTTGCACAGAAAAACTAAAAACTCTTAATAAATTTGAATTTGAATTCATTAGTTCACATAGTGCTCAGTCACTTACCAGACCCAATTCCTTTAATACTTACTGTCTGAACTGCAGTTTATAATTTAATCCTTACTGCAGACTGAGGGAGAGAGTTGAGGTAACAGCCTACAGTCAAAAAAATACTCAAGAATGTAAAAAGAAAAAAAAGGTTGATTAAAGTAAAGTAGCAGGGAGATGGCCAGACAGAAATAAACCGTGATCTGAAACATTGAAAAAAATCTCATGACCCAAAACCTACAAAGAGAAATATTAAACATTTAAAAACATTCATATTATCATTTTATAATAAGCAGACCACAGGTTTTAAGGATAGAAAGCTTCACTAAAACTAAATAAGTGCTTGTAGGATAACCGCTTTAACTGTTAGTAACCATTGCAAACACTCTGGAAGTGATACTTTTACTCAAACTACACAACGTTATTATAAGTTAAACATTGTATATTGTTTAAAGGGTAAAAAGGTGTAATTATACAGAGTTACAAGCCAGTTTCAGCCATTGATTTAGCAACACAATTTAGTTCCACAAGGGCTACTGACATTTTATCTGCTTTACATTTGGGTGACAACTACCCAAAATGTATTTTGAGTCCTGAACCTGATTTAATGTCAATTTGTTTTGCAATGGATCCTTTTTATTTTTCTTTCATTGACATGAGAAAAAGTTATCTTATTTGAAAGAAAGATCATTTTACTCATGTTCTTTAGAAGTTGATTAAATCACTTCTTATGAATTTGTATACTGAGTATTTTAAAAATAAGTGAAAAGGGACAATTTAAGGCAAATTAAAAACTATGGTCTGCTTAAAAAACAGAAACAGCCTGAAAAATGATCTGTTGCAAAAAACATTTATGAATTTAAAATATATTTTCTAAACCCAGTCTTTAACTAATATATATTTTAAATTCAACCAGCTATACCAGAATTCTGTGGTCTGTTTTTATGTGGCTTGAGAGGACAAAGCATAAACAGGGGTGACATACCTATGACACTCTTTGCAAATGATGCCCTCTTGAGAGTGGCTAGGCCCAGGTCACCAATCTTGACAGAACCAGTAGGACCAGTGATAAAGATGTTGTCACACTTGAGATCCCGGTGGATTATAGGAGGGGTCCTTGTATGCAGAAACTGAAGGCCTTTTAGTATCTGCCTGCACCAGCTGCGCAGAACTTTAATCTTCATTACCTTGAAACGTTTCAGGTACCTGTCAAATGAAAAACAGGAACTATATCTCTCCAAATACAATTTAACAAAAACGTAAGTTTAAAATAATGTCTTAAAACCAAATAAACAGTGATGATTTCTACTAAAAAATATTTCTAACAGAACAGGAGCCATACTCAATTTACACAAGTTTGGTTTTAATAGCATACTCCACAGGATTGAGCCTGAGAGCATGTTCAAGTTTTGTATTCTCAATGTGATTAGCGTTTCACTAATCACAACACTATTTTGGATATACAGCAACAAAAAGCCATACCTAACACTGAAGCAGTTTTGATAAATTTAATAAAGAGAAAGGCTGTTGATTCAAACTTTTCCTGAAGATCCAAATATGAGCCATATACTTGAGCAACTCGCTATGGCCAGGTATGTATTGGCTAGTTTGATTTCTAGCCAAACTTATATTAATGGAGCTACTTCAGTAAAACATTGGTACTTGCCAGGGTTAGGTACTGCAAACAGCCATTTCACGAAGCTGGACTTAACATATGGGCAAAACAAGGTATATTTCCTCGGGCTGTGAATATTATATGTAATGTATAATTATTATAATAGTACAATATATTAACTATTTAAAAAATATTGCTATTTCCAAATACTATTGGTATTAAGCACTTTTAATGAAAGTTAATACTGTACAACCTTGAAGCATTTACCCTGATATTGCCCAAGATATTGCAAGTGCAAACAAATTAGATAACTGTTTTATGATTCTAATAATGCTTTATTGAGCTGTTTTCTTACTTTTTACATCTTATTACCATTATAAATGCAGCACTACTATAGCATAATAAAGTTTATTTTCAGAACAGTTATAACAGACAAGGTAAATTCTCTGTTATAAGTGCACCTATTAAAAAGCACCTATTAATTATTTCTCGTTCTGCTGTTGCAAAGTCAAATTAAAGCATGTTTAAACTGAATTTTTTTCCACTCCTGTAGAAGTAATTCTCTATAATTTTCAAATGAAATTAAGTATTTAGATGTCTTCAAAATTATATTAAAAATAAAAATCTGAAAATTACTTAATTGATAAGTATTCACCCCATTTGTTTTAACAACCTAAATTGGGTGAGGAATTCAATTATCTTGAAAGATTGCACAATAAATATCACTGACTTTGTGAGGCCTCACAAATAAAACAGCAGATCATATCAGTCCTGCTGTCATGAAGATCAAGGAGCTTCCCATGGAACTTCAAGATGTTGTTAGGAGGACAAAAGCTGAAGAAGTTTCTAAAAAGATTGGCAAAGCTTTGAACCTTCCTAGGAGCACTGTGAAGTCCATCGTAACAAAATGGAAAAACATGGCACAAGCCAGATACTACTAAGATCAGGCCGTCCTACTAAATTGAGCAACCGGACAAGAAGGACAATTGCCAAAAAAGTGACCAAAAAGCCAGCTACAACACAGACAGAGTTGCAGAGCTGTTCGGCTGAAATGCGAGAAACTATCCAGACATCAACAATCTCTTCAGCACTTCACAGATTTGGCCTCTTTGGGAGACTGGCTAGAAGCAAGCCACTTCTGAGAAAGGCCAACATTAAGTCTCACCTGGAGTTTGCTAGAAGCCATGTGACAAAACCTGAAACCTTTTGAAAGAAAATGTTGTGGTCTGATGAGACTAAAGTTGAGCTCTTTGGCCTGAAAGCAAAGCGCTATGTTTGACGCAAACCAAATACAGCCCAACAGCTGGGTAACACCATCCCTACCGTCAAGCATGGTGGTGGCAGCATCATGTTCTGGGCTTGCTTTCCAGCAGGAGGAACTTGAAAGCTTGTTGCCAACAAGGGCAACATGGATGAAGCCAAATACAGGCAAATCCTTGAGGAGAACCTGTTTCAGTCAGCCAGAGATCTGTGTTTAAGGTGAAGATTTATTTTCCAGCAGGACAATGACCAAACCACACGGCAAAAACTATCAAGGAATGGAGTTGGAGCAAATTTGCATTGAAGGACTATGTACAAAGTATTGACGGGGGGGGGGGGGGCGCTAACAGGTGAGTTTGGCAAGTGAATGCAGAAAATGTGGCCGCTAATAATTAAGGACCAGATGGTAAAAAGTAAAAATCCTTGGTGTCTAGAAATTATAGTTGCTGATCAATAAAATAGAGATTTACTTGATAATACAAATGGTACAAATTTGGATACTTAAAACTAGTCTTTCCAAGCACTCTATTTGATTTTTCGACAAGCCTGGAGGGGCCAAAGCTTTAGACATACATGTGATTGAAGCACATCAAGATGCACTTCTGTTATATCAGTAACCTTTTTTGAAATAATATGGAGCTTGGCCATGGGCAGTTTCCTGCTGGTAATCTACATTACTACAATCTACCTAGTTCACAGGCTGTAAAGATGAATGATAACAATAACTGACAAGTAGATCACACTGATTTGTTAAGCCCCATAGAAAACCACTTAAGTTCTCAATGTACAGCTTAGAAATGAGAGGTTAATTTTAAATGTAACTCTAATTTTATACTTCTCTTAATCATCTATAAAAAATACTTCTACTATGTAGTGAACTATATAGAACTTTGATTTCCATATACGAAATACCTCATACAAAATAGCTTTTACAAATCAAAATCTTTTTGCTTTACTTTCAAAGTAAAAATACTGAATACCCTGATATTTCTTTCAGTCTTACAATGTTAAGAATACTGCAAGCAAAACAGCTTATATTTTTGTTTAGTGATACATTACAACAAAAGCCTTATGGAGGATTTTAAGTATATTTTTAATTTAATCCCTACAATGCAAAAGCAATATTCTACAGAGAATGAATCTCTATTATGAACTAGGAAATAAAGGCTTTTAAGAAACAAAAAGTCTCTGAGGTATGACAAAAGTCTTTCAAAAGCTTTCTGTCTTTTTTGAGATGTGGGGCTGGATGTAAATTGCCAGATAGTCTACCCATTTGCAGGATGGATTAATCTTTCATCTGCTTTGCTAGAGAAAATCCAGCAGAGTTTTGGGCAAAGCACTTGTGATCTACATATTCCTAGTCACCTCATTGTAGCTGTAAACTTCCTTGCCCACTTGAGGGAGATGCTGTTCAGTGGTCAATGTCTCTAAGTACTTCAATGTATTCAGCTACTGTAAACGTCAGTGCTGCAGTTACAAAACAATATTGTAAGCAAGAATGTTTGGAATTTGTTGAAAAAGGAGTTGTGTGGATAGCATTTTAAGCAGTGCTCTCCATTCCTGGTGCTGGAGATTGCAAGTTTTCAAGGTCTATGCACCAGAAGAGCTGGGAGAAGCTGTTTAATTGATAAATAATGCCAGTAACTAGCTGCTAGTAATTAGTCTATCATCGAGTTGAAATGAAAAATTAGACATACACTAGACTGGACAATTTGGATTTAAAGAATTTACTTTGTAGATATTACTTTGCAAATATTTTTTTTTTTTACTTTGCAGATAGTTTTAATCCATAAACCTGTAAAAAACATTCCCTTCACAATGGCCTACTATCACAATTACTAACATTTATATATCCAGCTGAGTAATCTTGCTTTATGAAACAGCCCTACCTTTATTTTTAATATTATTTATATAGACAAATATTAATATAGTATAAAAAGTATTAATTTTTAAAATTTTATTGTTGGACAAAGATTATTCTCCACAGTTGTGGGCACTGACCAGGATTTGAACCCAGGTGTTTTGTGTGACAGCACACAATTCTTCCACATGACACGTTAAGCATTCACTGTGCCACCTGGCTGATTTCAAAGTAGTGCAGTCCAGCACAGATTTGTTTTTTCTAAAGAAAGCTGTCGAGCAGTGCAAAGCATTGTAATACAGCATGCATCATGACTAAAGGTACATGATGCGTCGCGCATTCTAAATGACTGGATCGGTATATGAACGATTCTTTCTTCCACAGAAGAACGTCTAAGCGTATGTGGTTAATGTCCGATTCAAGACAAGATTTTTTTAATTTATCAAACACTTTAAATATAATCAAATGCCCTTTATTAAAGAAAAATGTAATAAAATTAATTCATATTTTTTCTTTGACATGAAATGGGCTTGCTCAAACAGCTGAAGGAGTTGTCAGTTTTTTTTAATTACAGGATTATAGGACAAATACTCACGTCTTCAATGTTCCAGATGTCATCAGCTCCGTCACCAGCACAATGCACTTTTTCCCCTTTGATGGTGACTCCCATGAATCATAGAAACGAACAATGTTGGGATGCTGGAGCCCCTTCAACATCCCTGCTTCCTCCTTGAAGCGCTGTCGCTCTGATTTGGACAGTTTGCGATCCTTGACAAAATAATAGAAAAGACACATTAATGTCTAGCATTCTTTATTACTGAGTGTCCATTTTTTTTAATTATGTTGCTGAAATTTGGTCAGGACTTATTTTGGAATTTGAGTGCAATGGCAGAAAAGCTAAAAAAAACATGGCAAAATGAAAGCAGTTGTACACATCATCCTAAATGAATTATATAAGTCAATATTATGATTCAATATTTGGTAGAGGTACCTTTGGCAGAAATTACAGCCATGATTCTTCTTGGACAAGTCTCTACAATCTTTGCACATCTGGGCACTGCAATTTTTGCCCAGTCTTCTTAGTAAAACTGTTCTTGCTTCCTCAAGTGAGATGTGATGCATAGCAATTATCAGCTGACACAGATTCTAGATTGCACTGAAAGCTGGGCTCTGACTGGGCCACAAAGTTAAAATATTGATTTTGTTTTTAATCCATTCCAGTGAATATGATTGGGGAAAAAACAAGGTAATACAACTACTTAACATACATGTTTTAGAGTGAGTGGAAGGCCTGTAGACGTTAAATTACAGCATTTTAGGCACTGAAGCAATATAAATTCACCAACTGATTGAAATATTGGCATCACCTTTCAGAGACTAAAGCTACTCCATTAGTGACCAAGGGACTAGAGTAGAGACATCCAGGATAATGTTGAAAAAAATTTGAGCTCAAATCAGTTCCCAAATTTATATCAGTGCTCAAAAGGAATTTCATGACAGTGCTTTGTATACAACAAATAGTAGAATCTAGTATATATGAAATCTTTTATATGAATTTTAAAAAATCTCAACCCCATCAGCAAATTATTAAGATTTACTATAGCCAGAGAGCTACATTTTTTAATCTCAGTTCCTAAAAACAAAGACAATGATTCTATGTGCTGTCAAATTTATTTTATATTAGTGCATTTATATTAAATAAATGTATTAACTATTATTTTATTAAATAATGTATATTAAAATAGAACCTAATATACTTATGTTTATTATTACATAAACAAGTTATTTGCCCTAATTAACCATAAGTGACTGATGCATAAATTTAGATAATCTTTAACATACTATAAAAAGTGAAAACAATTAAAGAAGGTAATGAGCTATCAATGGGCTCAAATTACGCAGAGAGGACTTTAAGTTGAGCAATCTCTTTAATGGCGGCACATTAATTAAGCTCCCATTTTAGTGAATGAAAGACACCATTTCAACTGATATCAAACTGTTTGTTTTTACAAAATATCTAAAATGAAATAAGTCTAAGACTTTGTTGTGTAGTACTACTAAGCAAATCCTTTAAGTTACCCAGAAAATCACATTGCCACTGGCTTTGTTCATGTGAATACCCAGACAACACTTTATATAAATAGATCAATAGATATCTTATACAGTAGCAGTACAGAAAAAATAACAGTGCAGGATAAAACAAGTGCTGGGAAAGGAGAGCAATAAGCTGAGCAAATACCAACTGTGGGACAGGACCCTTTAGCAGTGCCTCTGAGTGGTAGAGGCAGGTCTGGCACACCTGTCTCTAATGTGCAAGGCTTATTCAATATGTCAGGGAAAGTTGCACATATCAAAGCTTTAAAACAAGTAGGCATTTGAAACAAAAATAACTGCCAACTGTGCAGTGTCATTTTAAATCAGTATTAAACTGTAGTCTAGTGTCTTGTGTTTACACCGGTAATTTTCCTTTAAGTCACTTTCTAAGAATATGGACAATACAGCTATACAGCCGTATCATCTGTGCACAGAATAATAAGGTGTCAGAAAACTGTGCTTCACATGATCAAAGCTTTCAATTAGGCCCAAGGCAGACATGTCTCCATGAACATCCACAGTGACAACTTTGATGTAGATGCCATTCTTTCCATTCTCTGTCGACTTGCATGAAAGGTGGACTGGTACATTAGTCAGTACTATTTAAAACACCCTCATATTCCAGAAGCTTGGTTTAACTCCTTCAAGCAGCAGAGAATACAAAACTCGACAGCTGCTTAAAATTAGTTCAAATTATGTTGCAAGCTACTCTTTCAAAAAAAATTTTGATTTGAAACAATAAAGGCACACATACAGTGGATATAAAGTCTACACACCCTTATTGAAATTGCATTTTTTGTGATGTGAAGCCAGAAATCGAGATATATCATGTCAGACATTTTTCGATCTTTAAAGTGACCTTGCAGCCAACACAATTCAAGAGAAAAACAAATAGATAATTAGGGAAAATAATTTAAATGAAAAAACCTAGAACACCCTAGTTGCATAAGTTTGCACACCCTTTTATAATGGGGACTGTAGCTGTGTTCAGAGTTAACCAATCAAATTCAAAATCTTGTTCAAAGGTAAGTAGCATACACCTGCCATCAATGAAAATGATTCTGATTAACCCAAATTAAAAATCAACTGTTCCTGTAAGATTTCCTTGAAACTTGCATGGTTGCATCCTACTGGGATAGCCATGGTCCGCAAGGAACTGACAAAACATCTACGGGATCTTATTGTTGAAAGGTACCAATCAGGAGAGGGATATAAAAGAATATCAAAGGCATTGGATGTACCATGGAGCACTGTGAAGACTATCATCAATAAGTGGAGAAAATGTGGCACCACAGGGACATTTACAAGATCAGGACGACCCTCCAAAGTTGACAGGACAAGGACAAAACTTATCAGGGAGGCTACCAAGAGGCCTACAGCAACATTAAAGCAGCTGCAGGAATTTCTGGCAGGTACTTGCATGTGACTCCTTGCATGTGACAACCATCTCCCGTATTCTGCACACGTCATTTCTTACAAAAAAGAACATCCAAGCCCATCTAAATTTTGCAAAAAAATACATTACAAAAACATGCAAGGATGTGTAGGCTTTTTATATCCACCGTAAAATTGGACTAAATTTTTCACATTTTCATTTTTAAAAGGAAACAAGTTGAATACATGACATACAACAGCTTAGCAGTGTGGTATTAATGAAAGTATTGTATGAAACATGGAATTTAAATAACAGTTCTCCAAGGGAAGCAATCTCAACTCCGTTATTCTATTTAACCAAACAATGATACAGCTCAGCTGTGAAATTATACATTGTTTCATAACTGAAAAAAACAGGGACAAAATCTCACATAGAAACAAAAACCAAAACAAAAATAGGTCAACATACTATACACTGACCACTATACAACGAGATAAGAATTAAAAAAAAAATCCTTCTCAGTTTCTGAAAACCATTACAAAATAAGTTTGAAATGCCCTGATAAAAGGGCACAACTACAGTGCCTTGCGAAA